ATTCGGAGCTCGCCAGTGCTGATGCAGGGAGAGGCCAATGGACTTGGACTGATGGACTCGGACTGATGAGCTTGGACTGACAATCCCGCCAGAAGGCAGAGGAACTTGCAGGTTGATATGTTTTTGGGACCCTGGGGTAGAACAGTTTCATTTGTAAACCCCAGGAGGTGGGAATCTGGGGGTGGCCAGTAGGCCTTGGTGGCCAAAAGCAGCCTGTGTATGCCCAGCAGCCAGGCAGAGGAGAAAAGCCAACTGAGAAGGCAAAAGCTGGTGCTGATGCTAAGTTTGGGAAGCCCTGAGTGGCTGTTTAGCAGCCTGAGTATGCTGAAGAACTGTGAGTCTCGTAAAATCACCTGTGGGGATGCCCTGCTCATAGTCGAGTGAGGGTGAGTTGCTGAGGAACCCGTCCTTGGGGGATGGGTGGGGAACGTGGCTTGGGGTGGAGCCCCAGCCGAATGTAGAGTTTGGATCCCCGACCCATGTGCTTGTGCAGTGGGTTGGCCTGAGTGCAGGGGTCTGCGAGTCGCATTGGTGGCTATGAAGGCCGAGTGTTGGAGCGACTGCAGACAGAAACCCTGAGGGCTGGCGATTACCCCCAACAGAATAGAATCTCCAATCCCAGAGTGAGTGCATCCTGGGGGTAGATGCAGTGTGAGGCTTGTAGCCAAGACTACAGCCAGAGAAGGCCAGGAAGCCTGACAGCTCCTGGCGTGTTGCAATAGATGCCGTGAGTGATTCCCCTCCCTCGTATGAGCAGTGCCTTCGGCAGCAGATTTGGTGGCTCATCTGCTGGTACCAATAATTGTCTTTTGACACTAGGTTGGGCCCCTGCCTGGACTTATTTGTGTTCTGTTGTATTTTGTTATATTATGATGTATTTGCTTTTGTGGGCCATGGCTGCATTGTTTGTTTGATAAGAAAATTGTATATGTATATATATATATATATATAGACTGTATGGCAGAAAACCCTGAGGGGGTGGACTGTAGGCTTTTCTGCCCTCCCGCCATCAAGATAGATGATGGATCCTTGAGGTCCTGAATACATGCCTGATGGCGGGCACCTGGAGTAGGGTGTGGGCATAGGTAGATGAGATTCACCTGGGCTAAGACTAGGCTTTTAAGGGCGTCATCACGGGGACACCAGCAGCAGCAGCAGAAGCTGAAACAGAAGCCGAGAGAGAAGCAGAAGCCGAGAGAAGGCCGGAGAGCCCAGATAGAGTGAAGACTTGCTGGGGCCTGGAAGGACTGCCAGCTTCCTGGCCCCCCAGCACCCTTACCTGCTGTGCACCGGGTAAATCCCAATAAAAAGATGTGCAAAAAGCCACTAAGGACTCTGACTCCTCCTTCACCCGGTTTGCATGGGATCAGAAAACCTGCTCAGTGGTCTTCCTGCCTATACAACAAGAAAAAAAAAAGGTAAAGAAAATAGATCTTAAAAAATGAAAATTGTGTAAGAATTTGTTGTGGCTTCCTTCCTGCCCTATATCCCCTTTTAGATGCCCCACCTACCAGTCTGATAGGACCCCTTTCAATCCTGTGGCTGATTGGACCGTTTACCAAAAGGTCTGAGGCTGGGGTTGCTCCAGCGTCATTTAGCGGCCCTGCCTGTGAGTACCTCCAACTGCAGTAAGTTGGATCCTGGCCTGCGGCTTGTGGACACCACAAGCTCCATACCCTTGTTGTCATAGTCATATTGTGTATGGCACCTAATAACTGTGCCATAGGGGTCCCAGAAGAAGAAAAAGAGAAAAACATAGAAAATCTATTTAAAGAAATAATCACTGAAAACCCTTCAGTCTGGAAAGTGAGCCAGAAATTGTGATACAAGAGGCCCAAAGAATTCTAAGCAGAGGATAGACGTACACCAAGGCACATAAAAACAAAGATGTCAAGAACCAACAATAAGGACAATTTTAAAAGTATCAAGAACAAAAAAGGTAACATATAAGGCAACACCAATCAAACAGCAGATTTTTCGAAAAAACATTGAAAGTACAAAGATACTGGAAAGTGATGTTGGAAATGTTTAAGGAAAAGAGCTTCCACCCCAGAGTCCTCTACCCAGCAAGACTAACAATCAAGATAGAAGGAAGAGTAAGGAAATCCACTGAAGAGCAAAAACAAAATAATTCATGAATACCTAGCTGCTTATGAAAAATGCTAAAGGGGTTATTATAAAGCAAAGAATAATGACTACTGTAGGGCAAGGAAAAACATCAGGCTTTTCTGCCCTCCCGCCATCAGGATAGATGATGGATCCTTGCGGTCCTGAATGCATGCCTGATGGCGGGCACCTGGAGTAGGGTGTGGGCATAGGTAGATGGGATTCAACTGGGCTAAGACTGTGCTTTTTAAGGGCGGCATCATGGGGATGCCAGGAGAAGCTAAAAGGAGAAGCTGAGAAAGAAGCAGCATAAAGGGAGAGGGAAGAGGGGAGAGAAGAGAGAGAGCCGGAGAACCCAGATAGAGTGATTTGCTGGGGGCTGAGAGGCCTGCCAGCCTCCCGGCCCCCCAGTATCCCTGCCTGCCATGTACCTGGCAATCCCAATAAAATGCTGCAAAACCACTGAGGACTCTGACTCCTCCTTTACCCGGTCTGCTGGATCATAGAAAACCTGCACTGTGGCCATTCCTGACCCTACAACTACTGAGACCAAAAACCCACACCTAAACTATTTAACATGGAGGAGTATGAGGAAAGTAGCAAGTGGCCCATTAGATGAAACTGGGGACAACCCCTCTTTGGCCCCAGAATATTCCAGCACTTGACCCCAGAATACTTTCAGGCGATGCAAACTGCAGCAGGTAGAGGGCAGCCACCAGAGGCCCTACTGGGGCAGAAGCTGCTAGCAGAGGCCAGCAGTGATGGTGGAATGGAGTGGTTCCTCTACCATGCCAATCCGAGGGCATGCAGTCTCTCCAAAGCTGTGGCTCCCTCCAGCTGCAGCAACAGAGATGCCCATGGAGTTGGTGCCTGGATCATAGAATGGACCTATCAGTGCAAGCTATGAGCTGATTGGTAAATGGTCCAATCAGCCACAGGATTGAAAGGGGTCCTATCAGACTGGTAGGTGGGGCATCTAAAAGGGGATATAGGGCAGGACGGAAGCCAGATTGCGGGGAACTCTCACTGGATCCTTAGGTTTGCTTGGATAGGAAAGAAATCATAATTGAGGACATAAATATCAAACAAAAAGAAGCAACAGAGGATTAATGACCTAGAAAACACAAAACTGGAGAACACAAGAATAAAAAAAGGTCTGTGGCTGGGGTTGCTCCAGCGTCATTTAGCGGCCCTGCCTGTGAGTACCTCCAACTGCAGTAAGTTGGATCCTGGCCTGCGGCTTGTGGACACCACAAGCTCCATACCCTGTTGTCATCTTGAATGAGCAGCCTTTTGTTTAGGATTCTTGGATACTTTGGACACTATCTGGAGTGAGATAGCCACCCACTTGTGACCTTGAGAACTCCCATTTCTCATTTGTTAAATAAACCACATTGTTTTTGTTTCCTGAGCCTGAGTAGTCTTGCAGCTATGCGTGTGGGTGAAGAATCCAGTGAACCGCCCCTGAGCAGCACTGTCCTTTGGAGGCTATAGAGCCCCCTATAGCACGTTTCAGAAGAAGCCAGAGCTCAGACCATCTAACAGGGTCTCACAAATAGTCCATCATCTACTAACCTCAGTAGAACTCTCAAACAAATATAATAGAAGTAACACTTAAGAGCAATATTGTGGGAGGCATCTCAGGTGTCTGCCAATGGGCAGGAAATAAAGTGATAACAGCAATCAGAAGAAAGAACATTAACACACAATTCACAATAAAAGAAATATGCAGGACTAAAAATAGAAGTTCTATCAGTAATACAGGAATGCACAATAAAATGAGACAGCTCTGTTTGCCACTCGAGTTGGCAAAGATAGAAAAATTATATTTTGCCATTCACATACAATTGGTGAAGTGTTGATCAACACAATTTATGAAGGCGATTTGGCAAAAATCAAAGGTTTTTAAAATGTTCATACCCTTTAATATCACAATTCTATTTCTTCCCTGGCAGGGAAAAAATTTTATTTCTCATTATGCCTTTTTGCTTTTATGTTCTCTACTGCCACCATTTAAAAAGGGGGGGAAATGATTTTATAGTCTGGTGGGGTACAGAGAAACCCTCAGCTAACACATAATGAGACAAGTGTAAGTATCAGAGCAACTAAGTGACGGGTAATGATTTCCTAGTACATTTTCAAAAGTAAGTGGTGTATAAGTGAAGCCTTTACAGATGAAGATACCAAGTAACTGATTTGTTATTCTTAATGAAGATGGCAGCATGACAAAGGTAGGAAGTGTTATGTTTAATACAGGAAGGAACCAAAACCTTTGAGTATATATCAAATGCTAAGGTCTGATGATACAGAAATGTTTTAGAAACCTTGCCATTTAGGAGTTCCTAGTCTAGTGGGTTAGGGAGATGTAAACAGACTTTAATGTAAGGTAAAGAAGTGTTAAAAAAATTAAAAAGTTTTTAATTCATATCTAAAATTTACTAAGTACTTGAGAAATCTCAGTTCTGTTTTTCTCCTTTTGCTTGAGCACTGCATTGTTTTAGCATTTTATATTTTTTGACCATTTAAAATGTAGTAGTTTAGGGGCCTCCCCAGTGGCGCAGATGTTGAGCGCTGGGTTGCGAAGCTGCCCACAGCCTCTGCAGCGCTGGTTCGATCCCGGCTGCTCCCCAGCCACTGGAGGAGGGTCCCACATGGCCCGCAGACCTCTCCTGCCACCCGCTGCTCCCCTCAGCAGTGTACTTCGGTCCTTCTGCCTGCTCTGCTCCCCGCTCTGGCTCTGGTGAATTCTCTCACCCTCCCATGCTTCTGACTATACCCAGTGCTTGTATAAATAAATAAATAAAAATAAATGTTAAAAAAAAAAGAATTAAAAAAATAAAATGTAGTAGTTTAGTAATTTCCATTAGTAATTAAGAACAATATTTGTTTTTCAGTATGATTATATGGGCTCTGAAGTGGCAGTTGCAACTGAGAAAGTTGTTTATATATTTAGTATTATCAATACTGTAAGTATATTACATATAACATTTGTTTAAATTATTTTTATTGAGATAATGGTTCACAACAGTGCATGAATTCATGGGTAGAGATTCACAGCTCCCTGAATACATGCTGCCATACCCATGGTCAAATCATCGATTCAAGAATTCTCCACCAGTCCATTAGGCCCCCTTCTCCCATTTTTCTTACCCTTTTGGCGGACTCAATTCTGCAGTCAGATTTCAAGGATTTGTTTTAGTTTGTTTTGCTTTGTTCCTTTTTTTACATATATAATTTCTTTTATAGATAAAATTTATTTTATTTTTTTATTAAGGTAACACTAATTTATATCATTGTAGATGACTCAGAAATGTATGATCCCACCTTTTCTGGTATATGTTACCATACTCCATTTGCTATCTTTGTTTCTTTATATTTCAATACTGGCTGAAACCATCTGGTATTTTGACTTTCTCTTTCTTACTTACTTCACTAGCATAGTCCCCTCCAGAATTCAAACTAGACTATAAAGCTATAGTAATCAAAACACATGACAAAACAGTATGGTGTTGGGTCAAAATAGACACTGACCAATGAAATAAAGTTGAAAACCCAGAAACAAACCCACACTTTAGGAACATTTAATTTAAAATAAAGCAGCTAAGAGCCTACAATGGAGAAAGAAAATTCTCTTCAACAAATGGTGTTGGAAAAGCTGGGTATTTACATGTAAAAGAATGAAACTAGACCATTATCTCACAAGGACAAAAATTAAATCAAAATGGATTAAATATTTAGAGTAAGACATAATACATAGAAGACATACACAAGACACTCCACGTCACTGGCTTCTGTGGTGTCTTTGGAAATTCAACTGTGGTGGCAAGGGAAGGCACAGCAAAATAAAAATCGTACTATTGAGACTAAAAAGCTTCTGCACAGTGAAAGAAACTCATTAAATAAAACAATAACCTACTAAATGGAAGAAAATATTTGCGTGTTACATTACACATTTTGGTAACAACTTTGTTTATATAAATAGCATTTACATTTTTATAAAAAATGTAGTGCTATGAGTTAGTTTCATCCACCAATGGATTTCATTTCCAAAAAATAATAATTTAATGTATATTAAATATAAATAAGTATACATTGAACATATAATAGTGATATAATGTTGTATTTTTAATTACCAAAGACTATTTATCATGTATCTTCTGTGTTCAGATGTTTTCTCAGCTGAATGTGACTGTTATGCTATCTTCCTTGGAGATCTGGTCTGCTCAAAATAAAATTTCATCTGATGGGCATGCTGATGAAGTACTACAAAGATTTGTGTCATGGAAGGAAAAATTTTTGTTTCAAAGGTCCAGTGATATGGCATACTTATTAATGTAAGTATATTATTTGCATTTATACATGTTTATCAAATTATTTGAAATCTTAGCCAGCAAAATTACATGCAAAATGTATTCATTGTAATAATAAGACATCTCAATATGATTGTATGAATACCATGTAGACAAAATGCAAAATACAACAATCTGATAACAATGTAAGATACTAAAATCATGAAAGATTATTATTCTCAGAGTGGACTGTTTAACAATGTAAATGTAATAAATTGAAAAATATGGGAAGTTTTGAGTTTACCTATGAAAATGTAATAAATTGAAAAATATGGAAAGTTTTAAGGTAAACAGGAGTTATTATAGTTTTAAAGATTTTTTTCCAGAGGTAAATAATTGAAACCAGTCTTGTAACATTAAGTAAAATATAAATTAGTTAATATAATATAAAAATTGCATATGGAGCTAATCATACTATAAAATATTAAAATAGTAATGTGGTTACTTGCTGGTATTTCAGTACTAACCTAGGGTATAGCTATTTAACTATTTGCATTATATCTTTCAACAGTTAGGTAGATTTTCCTTTCACTTGTTGGATTATTTTAGATATGAGAAAACCCCACAATTCTGAGAGTCTTAAGCAATATGGAATATATTTATATATCTACTCATATCTCCAGTGAGAGTAATCTAAGATCATGTTTGAGGTTTCAGGAACAACTTTTACTAAGTATTAAAAAGTTCACAGTGAACTTTGTACTTTCTATTTGTCTTTTTTAGTAAATCTAGTACATATTTTACTCCATGTCCTCCAATCCTACATGTTTTACACATTTGAAGCATTTACTATAGGCAAATGCTAGCCATGAGCAATCCTGAATTTTACATCTTTGAATCATGTCCATATAGTGGTGACAACATGATTAATTTTTTGGAAGGATTAGGTACCACTGGGTTTTGTGCTGTGTAGTATATAATGTTAAAACTTAACTTTGTAGGAACAAAAGATTACTCAAATACAAAATGATTGAAAGCATTATGTGATATGTAAAAATTATGTTTTAAATAAAACTTTACCGAGAAATTTAATTCTTAAAATGTGTTTATAATTTAAGATGCATTTATTTACAGTCAAAAATTACTGTTTAGTTATAGGGACCATCCTAATTATGTGGGAGCAACCTATCATGGAAAAGCATGTGATCCAAACTTTGCAGCAGGAATTGCTCTGGTATGGATTTTATTCCCATCTCTTAAGTGATTATATTAGATTTTGAAATCTAATATCCACTTCAAGGAACAAAAGTACATATATTATATCTACCATGCTCTTTTCAGAAATGTTTATTTTTTTTACATTTTTGAAACTCAACTGTTGTAATTTTTAAAGGATTTTTTATTGTGGTAAAATTAACAACATAAAATTGACCATTCTTGCTAATTTGAAATAGTGTTCTGTATCTCTGCATTATTGTGAAACACATCACAGTTTTTCATCTTGTGTAATTGAAACTTTGTACCTTTTGTATAACATGGCCTCATTTTTCACAACATGTAGCCCATGGAAGCAATTGTTAACACTCTCTTCTTCAGTATATGAGACATGTTTGGATTTCACATGTAACAAAGAACTACATTATTAGTCTTTCTATCTTTTATTTATTTCACTTAGCAAAGTACCATCCAGATTTATTCATGTTATAGCAAATGGCAGGATTTCATTTTTATGTCTGAATAATTATCCGTGTTTGTGTTTAGATTTTATTCAAGATGTCAAGGTTTAGAAACAGCATAGAGAGTAAACCATAAGATATACGTCACTATAGTATAATATAATATAATGTATGATATAATAGAATGAAGTAAAATGTAATATCTTTTAATGAAATTTTTAGTTAACTATATGGCATTTTGTTTATCCATTCATCTGTAGATGTACACATTCTTTGTTACTTGACAGTTTAATCATAATATAATATGCTGCTTTTAAAAGTTTTCAACTTAAAGTGTATTTAAAGGACACATATGTTTTAAAAGGTCAAAGGTGTGACAAAATAACTTAGGCAACAATTCTGATGTTTTCCTATTTAGTACCCAAAGATGATATCTTCAGAGGCATTTTCAGTTATTATGGCACAATTGCTTGGAATCAATATGGGCTTAACCTATGATGACATCTATAACTGTGAATGTCCAGGGACTATATGCATAATGAATCCTGAGGCAATGTAAGGTGTTATTTTTATCAAATATTTATCTTCTTTTGGGAAATATTTGTAGCATTGCATAATATTTGTAGCATTGCGTATTTGTAGCATTGCATAATATTTTTCAATGTAACTGAATCTTATTATCCAATACTTACATCCCTATAAATTTTATTAAAGTGAATCTGTATTTGCTATTTTAGAAAATTGCTTTTAGTTCTATAGTCAATGTCATAACATGAAAGAAAATGGATATTGATGCTGACATTCTGGGGTATGTTATAGTTTTGAGTTGAAATTAATTCATTCTTAAAGTATGTAATGTGTCCTAGATACTGTTTTATTTTTTCTTACAAATGGTTATCAAGAGAGACATGTCCAAAATATCTCATATTGGCCAATAAGAGTGAGAAACTTTAAAAAGAGGAAAAAAGAATACAAATATATATATATATAGCTTATGATAGCTGCTAAGAGGTAAATAAATAATATATACATAGGCAGAAGAAACTTTCTAATGAATTGGTATAAGAAGGATTCTCTGAGAAGTACGAAGGAAAAAGACCGAAGAAAGACTTCGGGAACTATCTGACTCCACAAGGAAAAGAAATATAAAAGTTATAGGAATCCCAGAGGAGAGGAGAGAGATGTAGGAACAGAGAAAATATTTAAGGAAATAATTGAAGAGAACTTCCCAAATGTGAAGAAGGAGCTGAAAATTGATATACAAGAAGCAAGAAGAACACCAAACTTCCATGATGAAAGGAAAAATACAGCAAGACGCATAATAGTAAAGCTCCCAAGAATCCAGGACAAGGAAAAAATAATGAACCTGACAAGAAGGAAGAAATAGATGACATTCGAAGGAAAACCAATCAGACTGACATCAGACTACTCCGAAGAAACACTACGGGCAAGGAGAGAGTGGAGGGACATAGTCAACAGACTCCAAGAAAACAAATGCCAACCAAGAATATTTTATCCCACAAAGCTCTCCTTCCTCTATGAAGAAAGAATAAGGACCTTCCAAGATAAACAGAAACTCTGGAATTTCATTACGACTAAACCCCCACCCCAAAAAATACTACAAAGAGTCCTAAAGCCAGAACATCAGAGGGACAAATTATAACGAAAGAAGGCCAAAAAAAATTATTAAAACAATAAATAAATAAAATCAAAGGAAAGACAAACACAATGGCAAATACAGATGCTAACATATCAATATTAACTCTAAATGTAAATGGACTAAACTCTTCAATAAAAAGACACAGAGTCGCAGGCTGGATTAAGAAACAAAACCCAACCTTTTTCTGTCTCCAGGAAACACATTTAGCTACAAAAGATAAAAATAGACTCAAAGTTAAAGGATGGAAAACTATCCTACTAGCAAATGGACCAAAAAAGAAAGCAGGAACAGCTATACTTATATCAGATAAAACAGATTTCAAATTCAAAAAGATAAAAAGAGACCCCAATGGTCACTACATTATGATCAAGGGGACAATACTTCAAGAAGAAATAACACTCATTAACATATATTCACCAAACAAAGAAGCACCAAAATATATCAGATAACTATTGTCATCTTTGAAAACAGACATCAGAAAAAACACCACTATCAACAATGGATAATCAATGAGACAAAAAATAAGTGAAGACACTAAAGCTCTAAATAAGGATGTAGAGCGCTTGGGCTTAACAGACATCTACAGAACACTAAACCCCCAAAAATCTGAGTACACATTTTTCTCAAGCACACACGGATCATTCTCCAGGATCGATCACATACTGGGTCACAAAACAAACATCAACAGATACACCAAGATTGAAATCATACCAAGCATCTTTTCTGACTATGAGGCATCAAACTAGAAATAAACCATAAAAAGAAGGGAAGGAAGTCTCCTACCTCAGGGAGATTGAAAACCACACTACTGGTAAACCACTGGACTAATGAGGAGATCAAAGAAAAAATTAAAAAATTCTTTGACTTGAATTACAAGGAGGACACTAATTTCCTAAATGTATGGGATGCAGCAACAGCAGTAATAAGAGGAAAATATATAGCAGTAGAGGCTCACATCAAGAAACAAGAAAGAACTCAAAGAAACAACCTAATCTTGAAGCTCAAAGATCTAGAAAAAGAACAACAAAAAAAACCCCAAAACCAATAGAAGAAAAGAAATAATAAAAACCAAAGCAGAAATAACTGAAATTGAAACTAAAAAAACTATCCAAAAGATCAATGAAATCAAGAGCTGGTTCTTTGAAAAAATCAATAAAATAGACAAACCACTAGCCAGGCTCACAAAGGAAAAAAGGGAGAAAGCACAAATAAACAGGATCATCAATGAAAGAGGAGAAATCACAACGGACACAGCAGAAATCAAAAGAATAATCAGAAACTACTACAAACAGTTATATGGAAACAAGTTCAACAATCTAGAGGAGATGGACAAATTCCTACAACTCTACAATCACCCAAAGCTAGATAAAGAAGAAATAGAACACCTAAACAGACCAATTACAAGCAGCAAAATTGAAATGGTAATCAAAAACCTCCCCAAAAATAAAAGCCCAGGACCTGATGGATTTACAAACGAATTCTACCAAACATTCAGAGATGAATTAGTGCCTATCCTTCACAAACTCTTCCAAAAAATTAAGAAGGAAGGGATAATACCAAACACGTTTTATGAAGCCAACATTACACTAATACCAAAACCAAACAAGGACAACACAAAAAAAGAAAACTACAGTAAATCTCCCTAATGAACACTGATGCAAAAATCCTCAACAAAATTTTAGCTATCAGAATCCAACAATGTATCCGTAAGATAATTCACCACGACCAAGTAGGATTCATTCCAGGGACACAAGGATGGTTCAACATCTGAAAATCAATCAACATTATCCAACACATCAACAAAAAGAAATATAAAAACCATATGATAATGTCAATAGATGCTGAGAAAGCTTTTGACAAAGTACAACACCCATTCATGATAAAAGCCCTTGAAATTCTTGGGATACAAGGAACATACCTCAACATCATAAAGGCCATATATGACAAGCCAACAGCCAGTATCATTCTCAATGGTGAAAAGCTGAAAGCGTTTCCGTTAAGATCTGGAACAAGACAAGGATGTCCACTCTCACCACTGCTTTTCAATATAATACTGGAAGTCCTAGCCAGAGCAATAAGACAAGAGAAAGACATACAAGGAACCAAATAGGAAAAGAAGAAGTGAAACTATCACTATTTGCAGATGATATGATAATATACATAGAGAACCCCAAAAACTCCACAGAAAAACTAATTCAACTCATCAATCAGTTCAGTAAAGTGGCAGGATACAAAATCAACACGCAAAAGTCAGTAGCCTTCCTATGCACAAACAATAAATCTGAAGAAGAAATCAAAAAAAAATCCCTTTTAGTATCGAAACAAAAAAATTCAAATATTTGGGAATAAATCTAACAAAAGAGTTAAAGGACCTATACATAGAAAGCTATAAAACACTGTTAAAAGAAATAGAAGAAGACACAAAGAAATGGAAAGACATCCCCTGCTCATGGATTGGAAGAATAAATATTATTAAAATGGCCATCCTACCAAAAGCAATATACAGATTCAATGCTATCCTAATCAAAATTTCAATGTCATTCTTCAAAGAAATAGAGCAATTATTGATGAAATTCATATGGAGCCACCAAAAAACCTGTATAGCCAAAGCTCTCCTGAAAAAAAAAAAAGAAGGGAATGGAGGCATCACACTCCCAAACTTCAAACTCTACTACAAAGCCATAATCATCAAAACTGCATGGTATTGGAACAAAGACACACAGACCAATGGAATTGAATAGAAAATCCAGAAATAAACCCACAGATTTATGGTCAACTAATCGTTGACAAAGGAGCAAAAACTATGCATTGGAGCAAAGAAAGTTTGTTCAATAAACGGTGCTGGGAAAACTGGGTCACTACATGCAAAAGAATGAAGCTTGACCATTACCTCACACCATACACAAAAATCAACTCAAAATGGGTTAACGAACTAGACATAAGACCTGAAACAATAAAATACATAGAAGGAAATATAGGCGAAACACTACGTGATATGCACATCAAAGACATCTTTACAGACACATCACCCAAAGCAGTGATAGTGAAGGCAAAGATAAACAGCTGGGACTACATCAAATTAAAGAGCTTCTGCACAGCAAAAGAGACAATAACAAAAACAAAGAGAAACCCCACCGACTGGGAGAACATTTTTGCACACAACACTAATGATAAAGGACTGATCACAAAAATCTGCAAAGAGCTGATGAGACTCAACAACAACAAAGAAAATAATCCAGTCAAAAAATGGGCAGAAGAGCTAAAGAGAAACTTCTCTGAAGAGGAAATGCAAATGGCCAACAGGCATATGAGAAAATGTTCAACATCACTTGTAATCAGGGAAATGCAAATCAAAACTACCATGAGATACCATCTTACACCAGTGAGAATGGCACTTATTAAAAAAACTAGCAACAACAAATGTTGGTGAGGGTGTGGAGAAAAAGGAACTCTCCTGCACTGTTGGTGGGAGTGCAAACTGGTCCAACCACTATGGAGAGCTGTGTGGAGATTTCTGGACCTACTAAACATAGAGCTTCCATATGATCCAGCAATTCCACTCCTAGGTATTTACCCAAAGGTCACAGAAACATCCATTCAAAAGAGCACCTGCACCCCTATGTTTATAGCAGCACTGTTTACAATAGCTAAGCTTTGGAAACATCCCAAATGCCCAAAAATAGATGACTGGATCAAGAAGATGTGGTACATATATACCATGGAATATTACTCAGCATTCAAAAAGATAAACACATGCAATTTGCAGCAACATGGATGGCGCTGGAAGGGATCAATCTCAGCGAAATAAGTCAGAAAGAAAAAGAAAAATACTGGATGATCTCACTCATAGCAGGAATCTAGAAAACTTAATTAAGGGACCAGGAAAAAGAATAACTATTAGAAAGTGAAAATCAAAATCAACAAAAAACTATGAACCAGAGACACTCTATGGGGGGTAAGGTGCGGGATGGGAGGGATTGGGGTCAAAATAAGGGGGTTGTAATTGTATGGGGAATGTAAAAATAAAATTTAGAAAAAAATAGGATGTTTTATACATAATAGAAATAGAAAGTAAAATATATTGAGTCAAGGGAACAGTGGTGTCAGGGAAAAAGTCCTGGAGGTAAAATAGGAAATGTTGGAAAGAGCCTGATCATGCAATCATAATGTGAGAGTTGGGAGTTTGCAATTAGCAGAACACATTTGTTTATGCATTGTGAATAATAAAATTATCTTTAAAAATGAATGTAAAATACCAGAAGGAACAATAATGTATTTATACTTGGTAGGTGATGATTCTCGAAATACTACAATAGTTTGTTGAGATGGAAAGAAAAGGAGATATTAAAAAAATTAGTAAGTTTGTTGTGGTTATCACAACTTATGAACAAATGTCGAAAAGACAAATATTTTAGAAAAGGAGAACAATAGGTGGGGGTAAAATTTGAGGACAATTAAATTTGAGAGTCTCAGTAACCCATTAGTATTAAGACTATAGTTGCATAAATCTGACTCTCAAAAGATAAGTGACTTAAATGTTTGACCCTTCAGCACGTTGATAGGAATTAGTAAGAAGCTAAATAGAATAAAAGGAGACTGCTTAAGATGTAGTCTTAAGTACTCGCCTAATATAAAGTCTGACAATTAAGGGGGGAAGCAGTGGTTGAGCCTGAACTGGATCACTTTGTTAGAAAGTGTGGATATTATGATGATGGGGGAGTTTGAATGTAATTGTAGGATTAGATGTTAGTGATCTATTATTATTTCATGTTTTTTAAAGGTCTATTTAGGAGAATTCATTCCTATGTAAAACAATACATTAGAGTATTTAGAGTTACAAGGACATCTTGTTGGCAACTTAGTCTTAATTGTTTTAGGAAATAATTTATTCTTTGGACTATATTGTATCATTTTCTAAAAGTGAGATTGTTTCAATGAAATAAAATACATTAAACAGTACACAGAAGTATAGAAATATCAAATAAAAAGTTAAAAATAAAGAATCCAGGGCTTATGCATTTAATTTAATCAATGTTGAGATATTTTAATTGAGTCATTTTGTTACAAGAAACAAATAATCCTGATTTTTCTTCTTTTTTAAAAGATTTATTTTTATTTATTTATGCATGCAAGAACGAGGGTGTAGGTCAGAAGTGAGGGTGAGGAGAAGATTCACCAGAGACAGGGTGGGGAGAACAGGCAGATCTACTGAAATACAATGCCTAGGGGAACAGCAGGAGAGACAGGAGAGGTCTGCTGCTCCAGGTGGTTAGCTCCCTGGCCAGGGATGGAACTCATGCCTCAGTGACTGATGATAGCATGAAAGCACTGAGACTTCAATCCCTGCACCACCAGGGAGGCCCTAATCCTGATTTTTCATGAACAAATTTAGCTATCTTTTATTCCTTCAGTTATCCACACAAATTTCAAGGACATTTTATATTCTTATACATAATTGGTGCTCCTTATAATACTGATTATACATATATATGATAATAAGAATGAAAATAGTAACTAAGAGATACTTAAATAGTTTTGTTTGCTGAGGGCAGGAAGAACACAAGGAACTATGGTGATGGTGCACAGGTGACTTGGTAGTGGAAATTCTATGGGGACTATGCCTGAGAAAAGAAAGCAAACATTGTAAAAAGAAAAAATAAATAAAAGAACAATGATATACAGTATATATAAATAAATAAAATTTAAAAAATAGAAATGAGGTAGGGTCTCCCTTTGGAGCAAGGGGTTAAGTCCCCGCACTACAAAGCTTGGCAGCCACTGTAGCACAAGTTCCATCCCTGGCCAAGGAGTTGGCCCACATGGTGCAGCAGACCTCTCCTGTCTCACTCGCTGCTCCCCTCAGCAGTATATTTCAGTCAGTCTGCCTGTTCTCTTCCCCTTTCTGTCACTGGTGAATCCTCTCACCCACCGCCCCCCCTCCAACCCTGGCCTTTACCCAGCTCTTGTATGCATAAATTAATAAATCTTTTAAAAAAGAAAACTGAGTTAAAAAAAATAGTTGTGTTTACCAAGCAGTGTTAAATGTTTTAATATAGTACAATTCCTGTCACCTTAATTTCCTCTTTTTATAGATGTTTATTATATAAAATCATAATAGAAAAGAAACTTCCTTCTTTTATTTATAACTTATATTAGAAATGAAAATTCTTTCCACTCTTTGGCTCTTCTGTAACAGAAGTAGTACAGAATTCAAAGCACTTTATTTAGGGGTACTACTTTGACACTGATTTTATTCCATTTATATGAGGAATGTAATTTAATTTTAGACGTTCCCGTGGTGTAAAGTTTTTTAGCAGTTGCAACATGGATGAATTTAAACATATAGTTTCACAGCCTGAATTTGAATGTCTTCAGAAGCAAACACTTTCGACAGGGGTTTTTCAAGGAAGAAACACAACTTGTGGAAATGGAATTTTGGAACTACCAGAAGAGTGTGATTGTGGCCCAGTACAGGTTAGTCACAAACGTTAATAGTTGATCTAAAGACTTATTTTTGTTTTTCTCACATAATTAACTATAGCTTTTGATATATAAAAGAATAGGGCTTTTTTTAATGCTGCACTCTTATAAATATCTAAGAGAAGGAGATCTGAGGCATGTAATAACTGACATTCTAATTTTGGAAGACTGGAAAAGTTTAGGTATGGGGTAAGTGTAGCATGAGTTAAAGACATAGATTTTTTTTCATTAATGAAATTTTTTTTCATTAATATTTTTTCATTAATAAAGTGGATTTTTCAATATCCACTTTCCTGTGCTACAAACCTCAATATTATCAGCAGTGCATCATCACCTAAACCAGCTTTTGAATTTCTGATTGTGACTGCATCGTTCTTTTGGTTATTAAATGTCTATTGTTTATTTCTTCTTCACCTAATTTCAGTTCTTACATCTGGAGTAACATCAGTTATAAATAATTTTGAGTTGGTTTAACAGAATCGAATCATTGTCATTGGTTTGTTATTGTTACATTTATCTTTGTGCTCTTATCTTTATATTTTCAATTGTATTTGGTAGGATAAATTATGTATACATTTTATTATGACTGTTTCATATATTCATAAATGTTGATATTTTTAAATATTCCATATTTTCTTGAGAAGATATAAGGTGTTAATAATTGTTCAGAATGAAATTCTGCTTAAGTTGCTTAAAAATTTTTTAATGACTGATTCAAATTTTATGTATTTTACTAATTTTGATTGCCTTGAGTAATAATATTGATAACTTGAGTACTTGAGTAATAATATTGATAACTCTAACTATACAACTGGATTTGCCTAATTATAACTATAATTTAGTGAATTCATGCTTTATATGTTTTGAAGATGTTTTACATGGTACAGAACTTATTTATGATTGCTGTATCTTTCTAGAAATTGAAAGTTTTACCTTAGAATAATAACTATCTTTAACATTGCTGTCTAGTTCTTATTTCATCTCACATATATTTATTTATCTATCATGTATCTATGTCTATGCATATATTAGCTGCCTTTAATTAGTATTTTCTGATATTTTCCATTCTCATTCAGTTTTCCTGTACTATCAAGTTCAGTATATAATAATAATAATTTTAAATTATTATTCAATCAGTCTTGATTTACAAGATCATCATCTTATTTCTTGGGATTCATCTTTTGCTTTTTTAAAATAACTAAATTTAATCAGCTATAGTTCAAATAAAATAAACTTAAGTAACTAAATTTAATTTTAACTAAAATTGATTCTAATTCCTGATTTCCTTTGTTTTTAACTAATGGCCTCTTTCTGTTCCAGGAACTCTTCTTAGATATCTCATCACTCTATAATTTAAAAAATAATTTTGGATGTCTCCGAATTTTTGTACTTTTATTTTCATTTGCCACTTTTGTTTTTAGTTGAATTTTTGTTCAATTTATGTGTTTTGCTTCTTTTCTTTCACTATTACTTTCAGTGACCTAGTGGGTATGAACATTCTAATTCCTTTATTATCCTTGCATTTTTGCCATATTTATTGAATGTTAAACGCTATCAGGGCAAATTTTCACCAAAGTATCAGGGATTACAGCCCGATTATGAAACATTTTTGTGAAATATTTCACTTCTGTTTTCTTTACTCTTTACATTAGATAGTACTATGAAAACTATTTAGAAAATAGTTACTTTATTTTACCTACCATTTATTTATTTATGAATGTCAAAAAAGTTTCCTTTTGAGATAATCTCCTTTAATATTACATTCTATTCCTTAAAATATACTTTAGTCATTTCTCTTGAGGGTATATTGTGCACTTTTGTATAGCAATAAATATTTTTCTTCATGTATGTATTACATAATGTATAATTATGTCTGTGTTGTATATATACATATATATACAAAATATATACATGAAATATGCGTGAAGAGTGTAGTGAATCGATACTTAATATACATCTAAATAATTTGCACTTGGCTCAAAACAAACCTAGTTTCTTCCAAAGAAGTCTTTTGTGTGTCCCTTTTCAATCACATACTCCATACATAAAACTGTCATTTAGAAATTACAAGACTTGTCTTATAGCAAGAAACTTAGTTTACTGGAAAAGCAGCATACGTCTGAGTCTTTGAATATATTGATGAAAAATTGCTGATAGTTCACAGCAGTAAATGCTGATGAAAGGATAAAAAATGTATAAAAAGCATGAGAAGACTATTCAAGCATAAGAAAACCCAGTCAGTAAGAAATTTACAGTTCAAAATTTATATATTCATATGAACTCATGACATATTTACTTATTGACATATACCCTAGAGAAATGTAAGCAGTGTGTAAGAAAAGTTTTAACTTCTTGAATATTAAGTCAAAAATTGAAAGAAACTGAAACTGTCATTGACATGAATGGGTAGATAAACTGAAATAACCATAAAAGTAATATTAAAAGCAATGCAAGCAATTGGTATAAAGTTCTACATTCCAAAATTGGTGAACTTTAAAGGTAAAAAGATACAAAATGGTATGTGATTGCCAACTGTATAAAGGTAAAAAACAGGAAACTTATATTCTGTGAGTACACACAAAATAGAAAGACTATGATACAAAGCACTGAAATAAATGACATTCAATTCAAAATGACTTTCCCTAATTGGACAGTGCAGTAAGCCAAACCAAACAAAAGATTTTGATTCTCTGGAGGAGGTAGGTTGAAGCTGCATAAAAGACATTACTAATGCTTACCAACACACACCAGATGATTGCTCTCTGAGACACTGTTCAGAACTAACATTACAATTGAGTCACTGCCATGTTTATATAGCTTGTTATATGCCACCACAAGGCACTGTACATTATTGGTCTCTGTTAGGGACCATATAGGGCTATTGCAAGATAATAGATTTCCTTGAATGGCCATCTCAGCTGTCTCCTTGATCAAAACAGTGATCTCCTACCCTACCCCATTCCCCACTCAGCAAGTCCCTATACTTTTCTCATTTTCCCCTTAATTCTGTATCTTCTTTGGCTTAACAGGAATGACATAGGTATGTCAGGGGAGCTATAACGATTTCTAGTTTTATTGCCACAATCATAATTGATAACCGCCATTAAAATCAAGAAAAGTATTACAAATTCACAAAATTTTAATTTCTACCCATATAGTCAGCAATATTAGCTGTAACCTCCTAGGTATGTGTTGGTTCAAAAGGACCCATCAGAAATTTATGTGATTCCATTGTTCAATTTGAGAAAGTTATTTCCAAAGTCAGTAAGAATATTCTTGCAATTTCTCCTCTGAGTATACTTCCTGGTACCATAATGGCTTGTGTAGTATCCAGATGAGATCAAAGAATTTGAGATCTTGGTTACTATCTGTTCTCCAACTCAACTTGACCAGTTTATATGACTTTCACTCCATGTCAATGAAGTTCTTCATCTTTGTCCTCTTTACTATTAAAGTGGGAAATATAAGGTCTGTATTAGAGGACAAACACAAGGTATTGAATCAATGCAATCTAAATTGTGTCATGACAGACATGAGATTGACGCCTCTCACTTTCCTATGAATTGTGTAAAGTAAACGCAAGCATGGACAGCAATATTCCTGGTCACAGCCCAAATCTTCAAGTGCTATAACATTTCTGTAACCAATGGTGATAAAGAATTTCTCCCAAGCTTAGAGGATTGGTTTCCTGCTTAGTTTCTCTCAGGACTAATATCTAAATATAATTGTTATTATGACTTATACATGAACTATTGGATGGTTTCTTCAAATGGCCCTTGACTTCCAGGGAATTTCATTTTGCCAAGGGGTCTTACTTCTTGGGATTTTATTGCCCATTAGTTCCTGACTAGCTTTTTATAGACTATTCCTGGGATACAAAATGAGGTTCAACTATTTTTGATGGCCTGTAAATGAACTGACTCCTAGGCTGTGAGTGACTATTTCATCCTCTGGGCACTTTCAGCAGCCATTAAAAATCAAGGATGGAGTTCCAGAGGACCAAAGCTAAGTGATAGCTTGTCCCACTGTATTTCAAGTGTATTTATTGAAAATGTGAATTCATTTTGGGTAGGCAATTGTTTCATTATTTCTGTAGAGACCTACTGCAATCAACTTAATAAGGCTTCACTCTTCTGCCAAATAATTAGTAAGAGTGGTCATTGGCCAATGGTGCTTAGAGCATAAGCTTGGTTCTTAAGTGACCAAGTGACTTCCTAGTCTACAAATCCATCAAAATTTGCATAGATCCCTAATATACTAGTTAGAAGAGGCCAATTTTTATGATTTCATCATGCTTTTGCCTAAGTATACCTCTAATTATTCCTGTTTCATTCACTGTTTTGATAGTGTAGGTAAGTGAACAACAACCACAATATGCTTTCTTGAGTATCATAAGACCAACCCCTCCCCACTGAAGGAATTCAGGAGTTTTAACAATGATGGTCTACTTGTACTATTTAACCATTATCACTGAATATTTCAGCAGCCAAGTCTGTTCCTGCCACTCCATACCTGGCTTTGTCTTAACGCCCACAAAAACATTGTGACTTTGTCTTCTGTTTTCAGTACAATGACTTCTGATGTGTCTGAGTGGTCTTTGATATACTTATTAAATTCGGTTTCCTTCTTACTTGAGTGATGTTATTCATAATTAGATGTAGAAAAAAAGTTATAATACATATTACTACTGACAGTTCTCCTACCTCCTACAAGTCTATTCTATAAATATCTAAGTTTTCTAATTTCTATCACATTATTTTTGCACACTCTTGAACTTCACATGAAAGTCATCACTTTAATTTGTATTTCCATGATTTATAAATATATTGGACAGAACTTCATGTGATTTTTGGAAATTCATGTCTCTTTTTAAAAGTGTCTTTCAAATATCTTATAAATATTAGTGAAGTGGTTTATCTTTTAAATTTTTTTAATATTTATTTATTTATATAAGCACTGGGTACAGTCAGAAGCTCGGGGGGTGGGGTGAGAGA